GTCCTTCCCATCTTTGGTGAGTGTTTTGTGTTTGGTAGAGGGGGAGGGTTTCTTACTTGATAGTTCAGACCTCTCAATGAGAGCACCAAATGATGGATAGTCTACCCGGGGGGTATCTTATCCGAGGGGTTATTGCGGAAATAACTAGAGAGAAGTCAGAGCGAATAGGAGGAGAGAGAGTCGATTTTATTAAATGAACTCAGCGTGGTTTACAAGGAGAATAAGGGCTGCTATTTATAGCAGCAATAAATGCGATGAGAGGACACGTGTCAGTAATCCAACGGCCGAAGGGTCACATCAGCCGGTTGGCACCGGCAGTGGTACGTCCACCGCATTGAATGCGGTTGGCGGATGTGACGTGGTATTAAATGCGGTGGTTGGCTGTCTCTAAAAGGAATCTTCGATGATTGAGCTAGTTCAGCCGAAGGCTCCCGGTGTAGCCGAAGGCTCCTTGTGTAGCCGAGGGCTCCATGTGGTGAGGACCCTTGTACGGCCGAAGGCCCCGTGTGACCGAAGGCGTAACAATGCCGAGGGCGTAACAATTCCGAAGGGTCATGTTTTCGCCCGTTTTCTCCCAGTAGCTTCCTATGCCGAAAAGGCTATTCTGTGAGTTCTGGAGCCTTCGGCCAAGGAGGCCGAAGGCATCCCCGTGTGTATTATGAGCTATTTCGAGGTTTGGGCCGTTACACTTGGGCCTGAGTTGTTCTCTGGGCTCAATGGACTTGTGTAGGAGAAGTAGGAGTCTATGGGCCGGGGGTTCCTGGGCCATATACTCCATCAAGTACGCTTTGGCTTCGGGCCAGGTAATAAATTTAAATAAATCAAAAATTTTCTTCAGTCCAAATGTAACGGCTGAGTATAAGGAGGGTTTAATGGAGTTGTTGGGAGTAGGGCAGGCGGGTAATGAGGAATTATATTTGGGTTTGCCGGCTTTAATTGGGAGAAATAAAAGGGCTGTTCTGTCTTATTTGAAACAACAGATGGTTAATCGTATTCAAAATTGGAATAATCGTTTTCTGTCGAGAGCAGGGAGGGAGGTTTTGCTTAAAACGGTCATCCAGGCTATGCCTAATTATGCGATGAATGTTTTTTTACTCCCGAAAGATTTATGTAAGGAGATTGAGACGATGATGAATGGTTATTGGTGGCAGGGGAAGTCTAATAAAGGAATTCGGTGGTGTAGTTGGGAAGCTCTTTGTAAACCTAAAAATTATGGTGGGATGGGATTCCGGAAACTGCGGGAATTTAATTTATCTATGCTTGCTAAACAGGCTTGGAGGGTTTTTACTGAGCCTAACTCTCTAGTTGGGAAGGTGTATAAAGCTCGGTATTTTCGGGATGGGAATTTTTTATCTGCTAAGCTTGGTTCTAATCCCTCTTTTATCTGGCAAAGCATTTTTCAGACGCAGGAGGTCATCCGTAGCAGTTATTTTTGGCGTGTGGGTCGAGGGAGCGAGATAAATATTTGGAGCGATCCTTGGCTTCCAAATACAAATAATCCAAGGGTATGCTCGGTCCCAGTTCTGGGGTTGGAAGCAGCCAAGGTGGAGAGCTTGCGAATTGAGGATGGGGCTAAGTGGGATCAGGATCTACTTGTGACCTCTTCACTCAGCGTGATGTTCAACTGATCCAAGGGATTCCGATAAGCTATAGGGATGTGCCGGACAAAATTTGCTGGAGGTGGGAGGATTCCGGGCGTTTCTCTGTTCGGAGCTGTTATAGAGCTTTGGTTGGTGAAGTGCAGGGAGATTCTTGGAAGGGTTGGACTGTGATGTGGAAGTGGAGGCTTCCCCCTAAAATCAAGTGTTTCTTTTGGCAGCTGTGTAGCGGTTTTCTTCCTACGACTGCAATTCTGAGGACAAGAAGAGTTGACTGCAATGAAAGTTGCGGGCTGTGCGGTGGAAACGAGGAATCTCTGCTCCACTTGTTCTGTAAGTGCTCTGTTGCTGATGAAGCTTGGCGAGCTGTGCGGTGGAAGTGGGCAACTGGCTCGGCTTCTAATTTCATGGAAAGGTTGCGGATTGAATTTCAAGCGAAAAGGGAGAATGATTTGTGTAAATTGATTTGGGGTTGTTGGGGCTTGTGGTGTGAAAGGAATAATCGGGTTTGGAAGGGAGTCTCAGCTGATACAAAACATCTGTTGATGAAGACCCAGGTTTTTGTTGAAGGCTGGATCTTGGCACAACAGCAAGAAAAAAAGGTGGCAGTACCAAACTCGAAGGAGGTGAAGTTTTGGAAACGACCTCGGCCAGGTTGGGTTAAGCTTAATGTAGATGCTTCTGTTCGTGAGGATGGCATCGGGTTGGGGTGGTTGCTGCGTAATGAGGTAGGAGAATTTCTGGCAGGGGCTTCTATTCGATGGCAGGGACTGTTGTCTCCATGGGAAGCAGAACTGGTTGGTGTTCGGGAAGCTCTTAGCTGGGTGAAAGAGAATGGTTGGGATTGGGTGGAAGTTGAGTCTGATGCTTCTAAGGCTATTTCGGAAATTTTGAATGGCACTAGCGTCTCTTTTGCCGGGATTGTGGCAGGGGATGTGAAGGAACTTCGGTCTTCCTTTTCTGAGATTTCTTTTTCTCATGTTAGGCGATCAGCGAACAAGGCGGCTCATGTGTTAGCGCAAGCAGCCTGTTCTATGTCTGGTAGCACTTATTGGGTTGATTTACCCCCTAATTTTATCTCTCATGTACTGAGCAACGATGCAGTTAATAATAGTTAATCCTTCTTTTCTCAAAAAAAAAAAAAAGTATTTCTTAGCTAATGGGTGGCGAACATCATCATACATACACAACAAATATATCCTTAATGAATTTAACAATTAATGAATCTAATTTAATGGACTACAAGTAAATATTATTATAAGTATATATCGTATTTTCAAATAATACTAAGTCAAATTAAACAATGGTTTTTATTACGGTGTAATTTAATATGCCTATGCATAAATAATACCTCACTCGTCCAGTCAAATTAAACAATGGTTTTCATGACTGAGTAATTCAATATGCCTATGCATAAATAATACTTCACTCACCTCGTCCCAAAATTGATTTGTAATTTACGTTTCAACTTCTATAGTCATCAGTTGACGATCCAGTTAGATTTTTCTCAATGAGTTAGGGGTTGTTTACTTGTGACTTAATAAGCTGAATTGAGAGAGTGATGTATTCGCTCAGTCAGTGAAAGAGTTTATCAAGGACTTAATGAAAAAATGTACTTATTCGTTCAGATGAAATATGTCTTATTCAGCGAGATAACATCACTCTTTCTCTTACATACACTTGTTCTTAATGATATTTCCCTTTTAACCATATTTCTCCCCGTAAAACATCACCCTTCGTCTACATCTGATCAACGAGAAGCAAGCACAGTACACAACACAAGAAATCCTATGATCTTCTTCTTCTTCACAAATTAGGCCTTCATCTCCATATCAGGTTCTTTAGGTATTTTCTTAGATCATTTTTAAATTCTCTACTCATTCCTATGTTCCTTGTTCTTCTCGTCATCATCTTTTCGTACTTATGGTTTTTAGGTATTAAATTCTATTGTCATACGTTTGCCCCTTATATTAAAATGTAATATAAAATTTGAAGACATGATTCCTCTTTCCCCCCTTTTCAAAGTGTATGCCAATTCAATTCAATGAGTATGTGTGAAGATTCAATCTCTGCGTTAGTATTTGAAATTCACTTGTCTATATCTTAATTCTTTCTTAATTATTAATTTTCCTCTTATGTGCTTGGTCACTTGCTATCGTAGACAAAATATTTTCATCATAGATGGTGCACAATGAAGCCTACAAAGCATACACTATATGAAGAATATGTGGGATAAAATAGCTGATAGGAAGAAAAGTAAACATACAATACATGTTTAGCACTTGACTCTGACAGAAGGGTAAATTGGTTATTTAACATGATTCAGACGGTTTATTCAGCACACAAAGTAAACAACTTGTTATCTCAGCGTCACTTAATCAGAGATGTCTTAACACAGACAGACATCTTATTCCAAACATAACTTAATGAAAAAATAAGTAAACATGATGGATAGGATCCGCCGTCTGAATGCCGTTGTTTGGGGAGGTTCCCGGTGGACTTTTTTGATGAAATATTTTGAGTATGTTTCTCATCAAGTCTTGTTTATCCACACAAAAATCAGCTCAAAATTCGATCGCGAAGGCAGTTAAATATTTTTTTGAAGTTTTTTTTTTTAAAACAAAAAAAATTGTGCCAAATTATACATAGAAAATGTTTGTCCGATCGAATTTTGAGCTAAAATTTTTTAAGGATAAACTAGACTTGATGAGGAACATGTTCAAAAAATTTCATTAAAGTATTTCATCGAGAACCACCCCAAACGGCGGCGTTTAGACGGCAGCTCCTCTCTAAACTGCTGGACGTGAGCATTAATGATATTACAGGTATATACTCCGTATATTCTTACAAAATCCTCAAAATCCTTTAGAAAAAGAATACGACAACATTTATATGAAGTGGGTAGTACGGACTACGGAGTATAATTTAACACATCGTATATTTCTATAGAGGGTGTTTGGTAAATACGTTTCAGTCAAAAAATGGTTGTTTGATTTCTTTTAGCATTTTCAATAATTGAAAACACTATTTGGTAAATAGCTGTTCGACAGTAGCGTTTTTCGATGGAGTCGCTGAAATGGAAAAACTGCTAGTAGGAGAGTTTTCGGTTAGCGTTTTGAAATATGACGTTTTCTACTAATTTTTCATCAAACAACTACATTACTAAACATCTTCGAACAACCCGTCAACTAATTACGCGCTGACTGAATCTGCTATTTATAACCAGCAAACATAATCCGTCATCCAAATTTGTAAATTTTTTGTAAGGGAGAATTTGACTTTACACCTCACTTTTTGGTTGATATTGAACTTTGTACCTCATTTTAAAAAACATTTGACTTTTCACCCTATCATCAAAATGAGTTAATGAGGTGCATTTTAAGCCTAGTAAACAGTTAAGGATATTTGCGTAACTTTGCAGTTTGCACCTTTGTACATCTTCTTCGCTGGTCTTCGTTCCCACTTCATTATAGCGGATCGGAGAATGAGTACATTCGGAAATTCTGATTATTCTACCAGATAGGAAATATCTCTTGAATTTCAATTCAATTCTTCTCCTCACAAGACTCCTATAGACTGTTCTGCTGGTTTGCTTCTTCTCCACTATAGTTTTATAAACTTTCGATGGGTGAAAGTTATTTGAATCGGCTGGTCCGTTATTGAGAAAGACAATGGATTTTAAACCAGTTCCACTTTTCTTAATTTCTGTGCTTGAAAAAAAATAGATATTAAAAATTTACTGTGTTTTCTTAATCACACATCCCAATATTAATTGACAGAGCTGAATCCCATACTCCATTTCTCTGATTTCTTATCCTGGTTGCTGCTGACCCTCGACGAGCCCTAACCTTCGTAAGGTCAAACCATTTTCAATTTTCATTTTCTTTCTCCCTAAAATGTTTTTTTTGTTATATAGTTGAGCAAGAAACCACAGGCTTAGCCGTACCAGAATTTTATCGACGGGTTGACAATTTCGTGATTTGGGTAGCTGAAAGTTTAGATCTTTCGCTGAAATTCTTCTGCTTTTTTTTTTCTTGTCGGAGCTTTGTTTAAAAAAATTGCAGATTTCATTTTATAGGGAAAAAAGCATTGGTTTCTTGTTCTGTCAATGGGAGCTTTAGTTGAGGAGCAATACAGTTTGGAGCTTGATAATGGAACGGGTCTTGGAGATTGCATTGATCTAGGATTTGAGGATGAACTGGAAAGTATGGCTATTGAGGATTCTGTAAGAGTCCTTTTGCAATGTCTAGGTGAGGATATCAACAGAGAAGGTCTCAGAAAAACCCCTTTTCGGGTAGCCAAGGCTCTTCGTGAAGGCACCAAAGGTATCCTCCCTTCCCTATTGATCTGAACCTCTAATTTTACTTGTTTTATAATGCACTTTTGTTTTTATCGACTTTCTGGAACAAATTTATGGTTTTTGTTTATTGGTTTTAACTTATTGAGAACTCATAGTAATATAGGCCACTTTGATTTGGGATTAATACTTGGTAGCACAAAAATTGATTGAGTCTGGTGAATCTGCCAAAGTTGCTAATGTTATGGCTACAATGGTTGAATTTGCTGAATCTACTTTAAAAAAGTTATATTTAGAATATATTTTATCCATAAAGTAAGCAAAAATCATTGAAAGAAAAGCTAAAAATGATTCTCTTTAGCCAAAAAGAATCTCCAGTCTTTCCTTTTTCACTATTAACCAATTCAATCCAGCGCCTAAAAAAGGAATTAGTGTTAAGTAAAAAATCTGGCTTATAAGATGAATGTTTGGATGGTCTGTTTGAAATTAATGCTTGTGCGAAAATAAAATGACCAAAATTATAGATTATGTGATATCATATTACAACAATTTATAAATGTGTATGTATGTGTTTGTCACTTACTTTGTGTATATGTGAATTAATACCACATCCGCTTGTTTTTAGTTGTTCCACCCTGATGTCTTGAAAGTTTATTGTTGCATGTTCTACTTTTCATTTTAAGCAACTCCTATCATATCAAAAGGCATAAATATCCAGACATAAGAATCCACAAATTTGATCTTTCCTTTTTACCTTTTCATCTATGCCAGCCCTTTGTCACTACAATGTTACAAATATAGAAGGCTAATCCATATATGATCAACTAAATGTGAACAAAAGGAGTTTTTGCTTGTGCTTGTGTCCGTTAATGAAGGAGCAGAGTCAATGCAGCAAAGTCTGTGTTTTTTAGCCAAACATCCCACGATTAGATTCTGTTTGTAACTGCTCAATGAGGGAGCACAATCAGTTTTTAAGATTATATCCGAACATTTCTAGACTAGTTTAGGGGTATCCTTTATTCTCTTGTATTATGCTCACAAATAGCAAGTTTATAAATGAAGAGGTTTGTGAACGGTGAGGCTTCTATGGTCTATAATAGTACTTGTAATGTTATATTGTTATTCTTTACTAAATTCCTAAAAAGTGTTAACAAAGATGAGGTGCTTCGTGAATGTCATCATCACCGGCCTAGATGGCCAGCCAGACAAGTTAACCTAAACTCTTCTGCACCCATCAGTACAAAGGTAAAATAGTAGTTTTATGTTTCTTACATGGGGAACTAATAAACTGTCTTCTTTACGAAACTAGATAGGATAGATCATGGTGTGGATTTCTACTGGATTATCTACTATAAGCTTTTGGAAGTTCATTCTTCTCTTTATAAAATTTGAAATTGCAAAAAAATGATTAATATGTAAGTTGCATTATTTTTCTAGCTTTTGAGGTAACCTCCTACTCTTGTTTAGAAGAACTGCGTGATTTAGAGCCTAATTTTGTAACGTTAAATCTGTCTGAGTTTTATCAATTTACTAAAAGTGTATTAAGAATATATTTTCTTAATTTGTTGAGTACTGAAGAGCTTTACACCTAAAAATATGGGTAGAAGTGTCATATCTTCCATTTTTTAGTACTACCACTTTTATTATTGTTATCATCATCATAAATCTCATTCAGCAAGCCAATAAAGTAAGTTATTGTTTGGTGAAAATCTGGCTAATGAGCCAAAAACAATGTCCTGAGCACGCAGTAATTCTTCTATTACAACAACATCCAAGCCTTGATAATTCTTCTATTAATGCACTGAAAACATTGTAAATAGCAATTGTAGGGACATGTTTGATAAATTTCTGCCCCTTTTAAACAATCATAGATGAAGAAATTGGCATGACTCACATATGATAACTTATTGTTGCATATCTTTTACAGGCTATAGACAAAAAGTGAATGATGTTATACACGGTGCTTTATTCCCAGAAGTTGGGTTGGGAACAGGGGTGGGTCAGGCAGGTGGGGCCGGCGGGCTTGTGATTGTCCGTGACATAGATCTCTTCTCTTACTGTGAGTCTTGCTTACTCCCCTTCCAGATCAAGTGCCATGTAGGATATGTACCCTCTGAACACCGTGTTGTAGGACTCAGCAAGCTCTCCCGTGTGGCAGACATTTTCGCCAAACGCCTTCAGAACCCCCAACGCTTATGTGATCAGGTGTGTGGCGCCTTACAACAAGCGATCAATCCAACGGGTGTCGCCCTCCTCTTACAGTGCTCCCACCTCCATCTCCATCACGGGTGGGTCAAGATCCAAGTCACTTCTGGGTCTGGAGTTTTTGAGGATGATAAAGCTTATGTGTGGTCCGACTTTCTATGCCTTTTAAAACTCAGAGGAATATGTTTAGACGCGAGAGATGGTGAAAGACCCTTTTGTCCCTCCAAGGTTTCGTGCAAGACGCCTCTGCCGCCGCTGAATTCGGTTATGACTAGCGCGGTCGGGTCCATTCTTCAGTCTCTGGGTGAAGATCCATTCAGGAAAGAGCTTTTAGGAACCCCGACCCGTTTTGTCAAGTGGTTCATGGATTTTAAGAATTCTGATTTGGAGATGGAGAAACCGGATGGAGGATTAGTTAGGGGCCTTTTGGATCCACAAATAGAGATCAGGTCGGAGGTGAACTTGACGTTCTGGTCACAGTGTGAACACCATCTTCTTCCATTTTATGGGGTTGTGCATATAGGATACTTATGTTGTTCAAATAATGGAGGTGGAGGGGTAGGAGTCAAACCAATGCTGCAGTCTATAGTGCATTTTCATGGTTATAAACTGCAAGTGCAGGAGAGGCTAACGAGACAGATAGCAGAGAGTGTTGCTTCTGTCCTAGGGGAGGATGTAATGGTAATTGTGGAAGCGAGTCACACTTGCATGATATCCCGAGGGATCGAAAAAGTCGGGAGTAACACTGCCACGGTTGCTGTTTTGGGACGGTTTTCCCGAGAGCCCGCTATAAGGATGGAGTTTTTGCAGGGTATTCCAAACTCTTGTGTGCTGAAGGAAAACAGTTATAATTAGGCTACAGTAGAAATACACAATGGTTCTCCATTAGCAAGTGAATGATTCAGTTGTCTTTCTTTGGTGGCCAGATATACGGATTGAATAAAACGCTCAAACAGTGAACATTTTATTGTTTGTGCATGTGGATTAATTTTCACACAGCCCATTGCGGAGAAGTCGCAATTTCTCAAAAACATATGTTTCTATATATTCATGGGATGGGGGTGGGGGGTTGTGGATTCTCCTTTTGGAATTTTGGGAGTTACCTTCAATGTCCACATGGACCACATGTATTTGATCTTCATGCAATGAATATGTTGTGTGATGCAACCAAGTATCAGTTAGAAGTGTGTGATACCCTTTCCTTTAAATCGCTAGATGTGCAACTTGGCTCTGAAGTTATCAGTTCGACAAAGCCGCTAGTTTCTCACCAAGATCAGTCTTCTACATTGACACATCTCCCAATAATGATTTTTCCACCAGAGGTCAGTCGGGAGTTGGAGGACTCGTGATCCTTTGGTGGGTTAATAGTTAAGAGTCTGATACCAGGGGCGGAGGGATGTTTAAGGTCAAGGGGGCCATGGCCCCTCCCAGATTTCATTTTTTTAGTACTAGTATTGCTTAGTTTTTCTACTTGGCCTCATTTCACAATAACTTTTTTTAACAAATGTCATGTAATTTAAGTATAACGTTTATAGACTTTTAGTTCATTTTGTGGGATGTAAAACTAAACAGGAGGTAAAATTAAAGTTAAACTTGAGTTGTAAATGACTTTATTCATGTAATCTAGATAGGGGAAATTTCGTTTAAAAAAAGATAGGAGAAATTTGGAATTGAACTATAAGGGATGTATTTTCTTAAGAAAACACTTACAACTTTTAAATTCAAAAAGTTAGTATCAACGTTTGTAAATATATTTTTATACTTAAATTAAACATTTTAGAGTTAAAACCGGGAAACGAGCTATTTTTACTTTTTCTATTGCACAAAATGCACCTTTTAATTAAACTATTTCTCCGAGAATTTAAATATGTATCACATCATAACATATTGATAATTTTAGTGGCAATACTTTAAGACTTTTTATATATATAATTCAATTAATATAATTTCCATGGTTTCCATGATGTGCAAGAGAGAAGTTCTAAATATCAATTGACGTACTAGGAATAATGTTTTTCGAAAATTTTGATGAGTATCAATACATCATTTGATATTAACATTACATTTTTTGTTTCGGTCGTACTTATCTCGGCCCCCCTCCCTCCCCAATCCTGGCTCCGCCCCTGTCTGATACCCAAGGGCGTGGCTAAGGCAGTAAGGCCCTAAGAGTTGTCGAGGTCATGACATACCTCAAATTTTGATAAAATCTTTTACTCCATTTTTTTAAAAAATAAAAAAACTTTTTACTATTCTTACCTCATTATGCTAGTTCAGAATACATACTCCTATCAAAGATTTGGTTAAATTGACTTTTCTTGATTAATGGTGGTCAATATTGACTAATGATATTTTTTAATACAAAATTATTTAAAATATGAAAATTATATGAATTACACCCAAATATAATACATAAAATCATTGTCTAAACTTTAACGTCATTGACCAAGAAAAGTCAAATTGGCCAAAATCAATAAAAACATTCAAACGACATGCTCAATGAGTCAATGAGTACAGAATAAGCCGGAGATAGTTTAATTAGAGTGGATGCTACAAGCAAGCTCTAGGGGCAAGGTGTAATAGGGAAGTCGGTTAAATAAAGTATTGTATCTTACTAACTTTGGCGTAGTACTTTTCAATAGTTTATTAAACTGGAATTCTGATTGAATTTTAATATGAATTTCTTAGACATAACGGAGCTTGGAGGCAGTACGAGTGTATTTCTAACCGCTAATAATTAAGTAAACAATGCTATTTATAATTAAGCTCATTTGTAATGGGAGCAGCTTCTTGTAAAATATCGAGTGGAAGACTTGATCCCTTGTGGTGGGAACCTTCCTCGGACGATCGCTTTGCAGAGAGAGATGCCTTCGTGCATAGTCTTGGGTTGGGCCGCCCGGCCCGGGAACCGGCCCAGCCCGCTATTGTGCAGGCCCAACCCGGCCCGGTGAACTGGTTATGGTTCCAGGCCTAGGCCCGGTCCCGGGGGTTAGGGTGGGGGCGGTCCCAGTTTAGCCCACTCTTCGGGTCTTCTTTTTTTTTGTTTTTTCATTTTTTTGGGCTTTTTCCTGAGTTGGGCTGGGTGTTTTGGGTGGGGGTAGGGGGGTTGGGGGTTAATTAGAAAAGAAAAAAAAAATAACATGGATCCGACCCGACCCGGTGGTAACCCGGGCCGGTCCTTCACCTCAAACATCAAAAGCCCAGCCGGGCCTAGGCCCAACCCGACCCAGCTCCTGTTGGAAAAATTGAGAGTATTTCAAATGAATAAAATATTACTTTTCTTAATTAATATTTCACACACTAATTTAATAATAAATGTTTATACATCTTATATATACATTCGACTTTTATCTCTTCATATTAAAATTATGCCTATAGTGAAAATGAAATGCTAAACATTACATTTGAACACATATTTGAACACTATCTTTAAGGAAGTTTAATTATTGATTATTAATAAAAATAAATATGCATTATTGAGCCTTTGAGCTTCTATCAAAACCGTTTCATGAGTTGTGGCTTTCATTACTATATTTAATAGTATATTAATAGTGAATGGCTTTACTAACAATAGTATATTTGGAAGAGGAGCGCATGGATCATGGGTTTTATAACAATTGGCTTTAATATGAACATAATATATATACCAGTACTATACGTATGTATTGTGAGAGGTGTGTGGTGTTAAGCTTCTTGATAAAGTATTCCATGCTTGTTGCTCGGCTGACTCTAGGACTCCATATGGTTTATGTTATACGAAGTACATAAGAGATACGTAGTATATCTCAAATCATGATTTTGTTGAAATGATTACTGGGTTCATATAATTATTTTCTTCTCGTTAGTTCTGCTGCCGGTCTCATACCGAAGGGCTCGTTATATCCTGGGGGAAATTTCCGTACGCCGGAAATAATTCCTTAGGACAGCGTCTGACGCGTCTCGAGCTTCTAACATATCTTTAGTTCTTTTTAGTGATTATTTTACAGGTCATTTCTCGGAGCTAGATGGTCAACGTGGTCAACTTAGGAGCAATATGGTCAACACATTGATTTTCAAAGGATAGAGCCAACAATCTAAGGAATTATCGGCGACTAAAAATTACACCTACGATACACCTCTCAAGAAAGTAGCATGTCGTCGGAACAGCCTGCCCAGGAGTTCATCTCTATTCCCGACACTCCCGTGGGGAAGACTTCAGGAGTCTCCGAATCCGCTGCCCAAGAAATATCCACGCAGCTCCATGCCATGCAACTCCATGCCTCACCGGTTCATGCCAAGCCTTTTCCGGATATATCTAAAATTGAAGTTTTTTCCGGACCCAATTTCAAAAGGTGGCAGGAACGTATCTACTTTCTTGAGATTGTTGTTTGTTTCGTCCGAATAAACCTGCAAAAGCGTTAGAGAAATAAAATAGCTCGAGTCGCGTAAACGCTGTCCTCAAGAAAGTATTTCCGACTAGCGAAAACCTTTCCCCAAGATAAAACGAGCTCTTCGACGTAAATCGGTTACAGAACAACGGGAGTAGACACTTGTTAATCCAGCAGTGTAATATTAGAATAGATTGATTCCCACGTAAAAGAACCATAGCAGCTCCTTTAAATACTAGCAACAAGTAAACGTTGCTGCCAGGTGAAAGGTTTGCACAGACAGATTGTAATTGCTCAATAAATGTTTTAAATGCCTTTATATTAAAATAATAACGTTTGGATAGTTTCAAACGTTCTGTTTATTATTGAAGTTTTAAAACTTAACGTTTTGTGGCAGATAGGTTTAAAGGCTAAAGATTATCACCTGATCATTTACATGCAATAATGCATCACGTAAACCGAGCCTCAAAACTTAAACGTTTGGAGTATTAATCATAATCTTTAATAATAATAAAAAGCTTGCAGCTCACAAGTCTCAAACCGTTTTGATAGCAGCTCAATTATTTTTGCTCAAACTTGCATTAACGAATAAGTCGAACGTTGTAAACAAAGATTGTATTTATTTAATGGAAATTTCATAATTTAAAGACGTGCATACAAAAGAGTAACATGTCACGCAAGACTTATTGATTAAAACAAAAAACAACAACTTATTTCAATACTTCAGAAACATTCAACTGAAACAATCCCTGATTGTTGTAGCCTCTACCAATGAAGATGTTGTTTTTTGTCAACACAACCTTGTCAGATTCAAAGCAAACTTTTATACCAGCTTTTCCCAAAAGAGAGACAGAAATCAGGTTGGTCCTGATTTCGGGTACATGGAGTACTTCGTTCAGTGCTAGGGTTTTTCCGGATGTGAGCTTAAGATTTATTTTGCCCTTTCCATGAACCTTGGTTGTTCTAGAATCACCAAGGTGCACATATTCTTCTTCATCCCCTATTGAAGTATAGGAGGAAAATACACTTATATCTTGGCAAATATGTCTAGTAGCTCCGGAATCTACTACCCATTCTTTCACATCCGCTACTAAACAAATTTGTGAGACAACCGCAGTGATTATATCATCACCTTCAACCAAGTTTGCACTTGATTTAGGTGGATTGTTGTTTCTCACAGTTGCCCTTTTTCTACACTGAGCCGCATGGTGACCGGATTTCCCGCAAACAAAACAATCTCCCTTCTTTTTAAAGTTGGTAGTGTGTTTGGGCTTGTTGAAATTAGGCGTTATTATTATTATTATTATTATTATTATTATTATTATTATTATTATTATTATTATTATTATTATTATTATTATTATTATTATTATTAGCGTACCTCCTTTTATTTTCAGTTTCCACAAGGTTAGCATTTGAAGTGAATTCTCTTGCTTGAGCTTTGGAGCTCTCCCTCCTATTAGTATCTTCAATGATAATGTGAGTGACAACATCATTGAAAGTCATCGGCCCAAACTTATGCTTAAGATCCCGCTTGTAATCCTTCCAAGACTCTGGGAGCTTTTCAATTAGGATTCCGGCGATGAAGGGTTCTGGCAACTCAATTTGTACTCCTTTGAGATCCTCCAAGAGCGTTTGGTACTCGTGGATTTGCGCTGTGATGTCCTTACCTTCCTGCATCTCCCATTTGTAATAGTTTCCTATTACAAATTTTTGCTTCACGGCATCCTCAGCCGTATACTTTGCAATCATGGAATCCCAAATATCCTTTGCCACTTTGTTGGTGCAGTATACATCAAAAAGTTCGTTAGATAGTGTACTAAGAATGGTGTGACGACAAACCTTGTTTGCATGAGTGAATTGTTGAAGTCGTTTGATGGATTCATCAGATTTTCCATCTGGCATGGTATCTGTGAGTGCGTTGGCAACCCCATGCACATCAAGCGTAGAGTAGATACGTTCCTGCCACCTTTTGAAATTGGGTCCGGAAAAAACTTCAATTTTAGATATATCCGGAAAAGGCTTGGCATGAACCGGTGAGGCATGGAGTTGCATGGCAGGACCGTAGACTTCAGCGGAAAGTATCATCAAGAAAAACCCTAGCACTGAACAAAGTACTCCATGTACCTGAAATCAGGACCAACCTGATTTCTGTCTCTCTTTTGGGAAAAGCTGGTATAAAAGTTTGCTTTGAATCTGACAAGGTTGTGTTGACAAAAAACAACATCTTCATTGGTAGAGGCT